TCTGGAATGTGTAGTTGGGAAGAATGGAAAGGAGTGGGAGGGTTGGTGGAAGAGGATTCTGAAGTTAGAATAATGCCATGCCTTTCTTCATTGGATATTCTTAAGGCAGACAGCCTACAAACACTGCCCGACTTCCTGCGAAAGACGCCACTGCGTGATTTGACTATCTATAAATGCTCTATATTTCTTGAACGCGGTTGCCAAGAAAGCAGAGGAGAGGAGCGTCTCAAGATTTCTCACATCCCAAACATCGAAATTAATTATAAGAGTATTCGAGAAGATGGAGTTTGGATCCAGCAAGAGGATGAAACCGAGGAAACTGATAGTTCTGAATCTGATGAGGATGATGATGGGATTGCACAAGAATAGGATGTCGTGTATTACAAGTCATCTTAGCTGCATTTCCATAGGTGCTCTGCCAATCCCCTGTTCACTCCTTCTGGTAAAAAACTAAGCTTTTATTTGTGTATTGATATACTTGATTACCATATTTAATTACTTTTCAGTAGTCTGTGGGTTCGAGCTGCCCAATAATAACAATTTAAGGTGAATACTATATGCAGAAAATGCTTATCTATGGTCATTAAAATAGCAGCAAGTATTGCAAGCATCCATTTGGGAGGCAGAATTTAAAGTTGCAGTGGCTGGAGTCCCCAAGACATGATGGCCTTCTGGTATTTGTTATGCCTATGCGCAAAATTTAATTGTAAACTTGACTGCATATGCTCCATGTCCAGATGGAAATTCCGAATTAATCTCTAGGTAGTTTGGAATTGATTTTCATTTAATTCTAGTTGACAATTCCCTTAATCAATGATCTTCTTCAGAAGAACATCACCATGCTACATGCACAGACCATTCTGAAGCATAAAGAACTAAAAACTGCAATGGAGTTGACAAGTCCCTTAATACAGGTTTAACATTTTGACAAGTCATTTCATCTTCTTGCTGCAATCCAATGGTTACAAGTGTTGGTTGCTAGTTTGATGAACTGTCAAATTATGATTGAACAGATCCTAAGTAGGATTTTCAAGTGGTGCAACATCATCAAGGAAACTGGTCCAGCATTCTGGCAAACATTTGACTGATTGATGAGGCTCTTACCTAAGCTAGGTAACTGGTTTTCAGTATCTTCTGTAATCTTATTCCTATGATGTAGTTTAAAGGCTCAAATTTAAAGTTGCTGATTATGAAATTCAAATGTTACTAGGTTGTGATATCGAATGCCCATGTCATAGGCATGGGATTTTGTTATTTCAGCGGCTGAAGCTTTTCATGGCATGGCAGCTGATTTGGATGCTCTACCCGGAAACAGAATAGGACTGGAAGTTCATGCCATCTTCTCATAAGCTCCTTCTGCTCG